TGGTATAGTGACTAGCGCTGGCAATAAAAAAGCAAACTAACAACATATAATTGAAAATAGAAAGTTGCAAAAATTGGATGGCATTGCTGTAACCATCTACAGAGTATGTCCACAAGGCTAAGATCTAATAATATGCTCTTTTTGATTATTGAAGGTTGACAAAAGAAATGGCCATACGGTTATCACTGCATCACTTGTAAAGTTGTAATTCAAATGCAGCATGTTATTATCAAATGCAGATTTCTTGCAGTTGAGGGTTGTTAAAAAAGTTTGTTGTCCCTGAAAAAAATGTAAACGCCCTTGTGTTCATTTAGGAGACCTCTAGAATTGCTCTTCACTGCTTTGTGTTTTCCAGTGCCTCTAAGAATTAGCCCAGATTTGCTCAACCCTTCTGGTCCTGTTGCTTCTCTACTTCATAGTCCCTCACCCCTGCCTCCTTCTAGCTCCTTGCACTCCTTGAGTTTTAAAGGCTTTTCAGAATCTTTCCCCGGGTTGTTTAACAACTGCACCCCATGTCACACTGTCCCTGAGAACGCTTCTAATTCCCAATCAGGTAATATCCTTACCCCTGTCTTCATATCTTTAGTCATACGGGCGCTTCTTGACATGCCTTCCCCACCTGTCCCTTTGTTTCTCCCAGTCTTAATATTCCTTCCTTACAGATTCAGTCAATACTGAACATCTCCTCCGTTTACTCTGCCACAATAATTTCATTTTCCCTCCTGAGGCTCCATGAAACACAGTTGCCTGCCTAATTTTTTCCCAGGGGTTATAAATAAGTTTTATTGGAACATATATCCATGTGCATTTCTTTAGATAGTGTGTGTTCCAATGGCTTTTTATTATTTACTTAACTGTGGTAAAAGATACATTACAAATTGACCATTTTAACCAGTTTAAGTGTACAATTCAGTGGCATTAAGTACATTCTCGCTGGTATGCAGTCATCACCACTATCCATCTCCAGAACTCTTTCATCACCCCAAACGGGAACTCTTACCCATTAAACAATAACCCCCCAATCTCATCTCCCCTAACTCCTAGGAACCTCCATTCTCCTTTCTTTCTCTATAAACTTGCCTCTTCTAAGCAGCTCATATAAATGGAATCCTATAGTATTTGTCGTTCTGTGTCTGGCTAACTGCACTTAGCATAATGTTTTCAAGGTTCATCAATGTTGTAGCATATATCAGAATTTCCTTCCTTTGTAAGGATGAAAAATATTCTGTTGTATGTATACACCACGTTTTGTTTATCCAGTCATCTCTACTCAGACAATTGAGTTGTTTCCACCTTTTGGCTGTTGTGAATGATGCCTCTGTGGACATTGATGTACAAATATCTAGTCAAGTCCCTGCTTTCAATTCTTTTGGTGACCTGCCCACAAGTGGAATTTCTGGAGCCTATCTAATTTTAATTAGCTTTTATTATGTGGCCTGCTATTAGCTTATGAGCTTTTTGACATTAGGGGTCCTACTTCACTCTTTATTCAGAGCTGAACATAATGGAGATTGGATCTTGGGAGGGGTTTTGTGAGGTTAAGGAAATGGGGGGACCATCTCCCTGCTCACAGAGCGAGGGGGCCTATGCGAGTGGCTAGAGGCTCTGGTATCTGAGTGCCTGTTGCAGCTCTAAGTTTCTCCAGGAAGATCCTTGTGGCAAGGCCCAACCTAACTACCAGCGCTGACTCTCCCAGCATAAGCCTCTTTCCCCCAAATCACATCATCTCCATTTAAATAACTGAATTTTCAACAACGTGTGGGCCGATTATCATTCTCACTACGGTTAAGTTCCAGAAAACAGGATTGTTTTCCCCATTTTGTGCTCTCAGCATATCCACGCCGGACATCGATGCCTGTTGCCACATGAGGGCTCCCCAAGTGCAAAGTAGATCGTGGTGCTTTGTCGTTCTGGGGTTCCTAGTCTCCCCGGGGACCGCTATTTTCCCTTCCCCAATAAGTCCTAGAAACCTGCATCTTCTACTTTGTATAATGAAAATGAAAATATGATAGCGTATATCTGCATGGGTAGGGCAACTTTATATGAATGCCCGATAATTAGAAATATTCATATTCACGACAGCATACCAAATTAGGGAGGACTTGCATGGGGTCCCCCCGAGACTTAGCTGTCCTAAGGAAAAGCATCTGCGCTGCAGAAACAGGTAGACATGTAACAGCTTACAGGGCAGTGTCACCTTGACTTTCCTATGCCCGAGAAAGTCAGTCTGTCCTGTCAGCCAGCTTTCAGGGCTTTCGTTGATCTGCTTCTCAGTAGGGCCTTGCTGAAATGCCCATTCACAGGCTACTTCTCTGTAAAGTCCATACGACACGCTACTCACATCTCATCTGTTGAATAGCTCGATACTATGCTCTACTACAGATTTTGTGTGGAATTCAGCTATGGACTGGTATCTTGATCTTTTATCTTTAGTCAAGCGATTCTACATTTTTTTCTGTATCATTTATTTGGTTGAAGGCAACTGACCGATAATTTTTATACAGTTGGGATACAAAAATAAATTTAAGTGCTTAATTATCCATTGAACCTGCCAGTGAGTGTATGTGGGGAGCAATTGGCAGTGATGTGATAATTACACCAGAGGGTAGCCTTTTTATTGTTTTCACCTGGATTTCCCAGATAGCTTCATATTTTCAAGTTGTTAATAAAATTTAGAAAATTAAGATGCATGCTAAGGAATATGTTTTAGCATTGAGTAAGAGAATGGTGAACCCATCTCAGTGAAGGAAGAAACAAGGTCGGAGTGAAACTGAGGGCATTAAAGGATGACCTCTCTCAGGTCACTGCTCTCGGGATCCTGGAGGCAGCCAAAAGAAAATTCAACCAAAGGGATCAGTGAGCCAAGGACAATAAACAGGAGAGAAACCTGAATTACTCCCCAACCTTCAACCTCGCTCTGACAGTTTCATCCCCATTGTATAGCACTTAATCTGAAGTTGCCTATCTGCTTTACTGTGATATTCTCCCCTTCTAAAGTACCCCTGGATGCTTACTTTTGTTTAACTTTTCCGTTTTGAGATCTTTGTAAATTCACATATCGTTGTAAGCAATAATACAGAGAGATCCTGTGTACCCTTAACCCTGATGGTAGCATGCTTCATATGGTATAATATTACCATGGACATCAACATTGATACAGCCCACCAATAGGATTCATATTTTTCCAGTTTTACTTGTACATGCATGTGTATGCATGTGTTTTTGGTTCTATACAACATTATCACTTACGTACATTTGTGTTTCATCCATGAGAGTCAAGATGCAGGACAGATCCATCACCACAAGGATCCCTCCAACTGCTTTTTTTTTTAATCCCTACCCGAGGATGGTTTTTGATTATTGATTTTTAGAGAGAGAGAGGAGAAACATTGATGTGAGGGAGAAACATCGATCAGTTGCCTTCAATACGTGCCCGGGCAGGGAATTAAACCCGCAATCGAGGTATCTGTCCTGACCAGGAATAGAACCCGCAACTTTCCTGCTGCCTTTTTATAAACACATCTACGTACCCCACCCACCCTACTCCGGTCCCTAACCTCTGGCGACTGCTCCTTTCTTCTCCATTCCTCTAATTTTGTCATTTCATAACTGTTATATAAATAGAATCATACTGTATGTGACCACTTGAGGTTGGCTTTTTTTTTTCAATCAGCATAATTTCCATGAGATTCACCTAAGCTGCTGTGTATGAAGTCTGTTCCTTTTCATTACAAAGTAATAGTCCATGGTGTGGATGTACCAGTTTGTTTAACCGTTCACCTTTGAAGGGCATCTGGATTATTCCCAGTTTTGCTGTTCCAAATAAAGCTGGTATGAACACTTTTGTACAGGGTTTTGTATAAACATCAGTTTTCATTGCTTTGGGATAAATGCTCAAGTGTCCAATAGCTGGACTGTATAAGCACATGCTCAGCTTTGTAAAAACTGCCAAATGTTTCCAGAGTAGCTGTACTATTTATATTCCTGCCAGCAGTGCTGGAGTGATCCAGTTTCTCCATATCCTCATCAGCATCTGATGTTCTATTTTTTTAGTTTTAGCCATTATAATAAGTGTGTAATGCTAGCTCATTGTGGTTATAATTTGCATTTCCCCAGTGGTTAGTAATGTTGACCATCTTTTCATGTGTTCATTTGGCTGATGCTTATGTTTAACCTGACTCTGCCTAAAAATGTTAGGAGCATGGACAGGAGATAGGATTTGTCTTGAAAAATAAAGCCTTGCCAAATTTTGATTCCCAAATCCAGTCCTGGATAGAAAAACAAGAGCTGGCCATTAGCTCCATTGTTTATTAGAATTCTAATATGTGTTTCTAAAGCAAGGGCATTTTAGTCAAATATAGTCACCCCTAATTATAATAGCATTCTTCTGAGCTAGATAAAAGGACTGATGAAATTTCTTTTTTGTTTTAATTATGTATTAGGAAGCACATCTTCATTTTAGGCATTCTTTATGAGTTATCATTGTTACACATTTTATTTGGAGATACTCTGATTAGCCTCTTTAATTTGCAGTAATCTATTGATATACTGATAGTACATTCATTTCCTATCTCTTTGCAGATGTGTTTGGGGGCACTTGTTTGTCACAGAAAGTGCATTTACAAATTCATTTTGTTTCATTTTTGGATTTAAAAACAGTTTTTTAAAAAATTTATTTCAGAGAGAGGAAGGGAGAGGGAGATAGAAGCATCGATGATGAGAGTCATCCATCGGCTGCCTCCCGCAAGCCCCTACTGGGGATCGAGCCCGCAACCCAGGCATGTGCCCTGACTGGGAATCGAACCGTGACCTCCTTGGTTCATAGGTCAATGTTCAATCACTGAGCCACTCCGGCTGGGTGCATTTTTGGATTATTTTTAAAAAGCAGTAAGGCTGCTTAGGCTCTGAAAATAGCTAATGCAACTACCTTTGCATTTTGTTTTCTTTCCAATAGACATTTTGTCTCCTTTTTTCAAATATTTTCCCTTTATCTTTAACAGGTTGATTTAGTGAATATCGGAAGCTCTGACATAGTAGATGGAAATCACAAACTGACTCTTGGTTTGATTTGGAATATAATCCTCCACTGGCAGGTAAGAATCCTGATGAATGCGTCCTTTCTGGGTAACTTGTTGCTGATTCTTGCTTTCATATTTTCCCCTTCACCTGCAAAGCAAATATGTATGTCTCTAGCAATATAAAGTCCATCTCCGTAGTGCTGCCTTTTAAATTAGCACAACTAAGGCCATTTAAGATGTGGAGGAGCAGCAGATTATAAAACAGGTTCTAGCACATCTGCAGGAATATTTTTCTAAATTTTATTTCACTGTGTAGAGATAAGGCAAAAAAGACAAGTCTCATCAACAAGGTAAGAAAAATATTTTTCACAAATATGTGTCTTCTATCACTTACCTTTAAGTGAGTCTACATAGTTTTGCAAAATGAAAGGTATTTTTCCTGTTAATCACTACCAAATGAAGGAGACTTTGTGAATCTTGTGTATTTGCAATTTAGATTACTGCCAATAAAAGATTAGTGGGATATGATCATCTGTATGAGAATATATGTTATACATACCAACTAACTTTATAATCTGATTGGGAAATCGCATTTTTTCTGAACTACCTCAGCATAGGGTCTTCGGAATGCCTATATTTATTGGACCTCTGCAGAAGAGAAGAAAGGTCATTGAGTTTAGTGGAAAGAGTATACGTTTTTTCAATCAGACCAACATGAGCTTGTATTCAACTCTGCCATTTACAATCTTAATGACATTGGCTTTAATGCCATCCTTTTCTAGGCCATAATTCCCTCACTGTCAAAAGAGAAAAAATAATTAACGTGTATTTCTTGTCAGGAATAAATGAGAATATCCATAAAGTACTTAGTACAGTGCACCGTTTTCATTAGAGGTGTATCACATGAATAACTTTGATTGCTTAGAGAGTTTTCGACTCATATTTTAAGAACTTGAAAGATAATTGAGATGTCTGCTTATTTCTTTTTTTTTTTACGAGCAGAGATTACTACTTTATAAACCAGCTTTTTTGAGATGTAATTTACGTATTATAAATTTACCCATTCTAATTATAAAATTCAGAGTATACCAGACTGGTTTAATTCTGTTGCCCAAGGCTTCTCAAACTATTTTGAGGATGGAACAGTCCCCCTACCCTCCCCAATCCATAAAAGACTGGGATTTTTCCAGAGTTGTACAACCATCACAACAATCTAATTTTAGCACATTGCCACCACCCTGAAAAAAAATCTCATGTCCATTTACAGTTACTCCCCACTCCCACCCCCCCAGCCCTAGGCAATCAATCTATTTTCTTTCTCTATTTACCTGCCTTTTTGGACATTTCATATCAATGGAATTATATAACATATGTTCTTTTTTATCTGGCTTCTTTCATTGAGCATAATATTTGAAGTTCATCCCTACTGTAGAAGGTATTACTACTTCATTTAGTAGGGTTGACTTTTTTTCCCCCATAGGGTTGACTTTTAATTTGAATTGTAGGTTGGTCCTGCTCAGAGTCAGATAGCATGCAGACCAGAGGTACACATATTCAACTTGTTCTTCCAGTTGATCTCCATCCCTGTATCTTTTTATTCTAAACACTCTGAACAGGCTCAATTCTATTGCACAGCAATATGGAAAGTGAGCGAGAACCATCATAGTGGCTAACCATTGAGAATATCTCATTCATGCCTCAAATGAGTCCAAGGTTCCCAATTCTGGGCCTTTTTCATACAGTAATAGTATCAAATAAAACCAGCAAAGCAACATAGGGCTCCCCACCCAACTGGTTTACTTTTGTTGCTGAGTACTTCTCGGAATACCTGGAAAAAAGAATAATTTCTCCCCCCCCCTTTTCCATTGTATGCAAATTACAGTAAAAATGATGTTACAAATGTGAAATAAAAAGACACACAAAACCCACGCCTATTTTTATCATTATATTCAACAGATGTAAATAGACTCTGTCAAAGTGCTAAAGAAATTTCAAATAGACTGTCGATTGTTTTATTTATTTTATGGACCGGTAACAAATGGTTCATGGAGGGACACCAGCTTGCAGAAAACACTTTTGTGTTGCACAGATGTTGGTCGTGACAAAGCCAGCAGGAGGACTCAGTCCTGAACAGGACCCCCAAAGGCTATTTTAATTGTATTTATCATCAAAACTGTCTATCATATGTTCTCACCCTTTCTTATCTCCTCAAAGCACTTTCCAACTCCATCTCAACTCACTGTAAGATAGAGTTTCAAAACTAGTCTGTTTGATATTTTCTAGATTTGCTTGTGACCTGCTCATTTTTTATTATTAGCGTGTGGAGGGGCTGTCACACCCAGGAATCCCAGAAGGAATGCTTCTGCAGTCTTCCTTGTCTGAGACCTCTCTGTTGTTTTCCATTTATGTCCTTGAATCACTATATTTTTGTGACTACAGGGACCTAGATTCTTGCCAGCCTCTGCCTCCTTAGCTTATCTCTCTCTTCTCTGTTCTCTTAAAACAACTCTGTTCTCCTAAAACTATGAAGTACTCTTTAAAAAATTCCTCCTGCTCAGTGCTTCTCATCATAATCCAATGAATCCCAAAAGATATTTTCACCAAGAGTACATATTTGCCTTCCTATTAAATAGTGAAAAAAGCTCTTGAATCTCTGCAAAGATTAAAGGACACTCTGGCCAACCTAATGTACTTTCCAGATTGATCAGATTAAGAATGGCATGAAAAGATGGGAAAATGTGAGTCTTTTGTTCCAGTGCCACATACTATGTTATTAATAGTGCTGTGCTGTGGAGGCCTTCTCTTTGAACTTGTAGAAACTCAGAAATACCAACACTGTCTCCTATGTCACTGTTTTCCCAGTTTCCACTTCAAACTGTTAGCCTGGAAAATCATGCCTATATTAAGAGTGTGCAGCTTTGTACACAACTGTGAAGTAGACGACATGTGTCTGGCATCTTTTTCTTCCTTCTTTCTTTAAGTGTAAACCATCCTTTTAGGGTGTTCAGCTCAGTTTTGGTAACCAGCTGGAGATGAAAACATATCCTGCTAACAGTGGTGTGCTAGCAGAGGTCAGGCCCCATCTTTGCTGGCTAACTCAAAGGAAATAATTCCAGGGCTGCTTCACACTGGAATGTTTACCTGATTTATTCTTTGAACAGCATACAAGAGAAAGATGGTTTTTGCACTGCCGGAAGCCCTTACTGTGAACTCCTGCTTACGTGTACCTAGTGCCTTCTGCGCCAGCCAGTTCTTGCTCTGGTCTTCTGCAGGCCTCTCACACACTATGACCCTTTCCTTGGAGGTGGCTATTTTTTCCCTCCTCACACGTACCCCGCTGCTGCAACTCCTTTTAGTCCCAGGATGGATTCTGGGAAGCAGATTTTGAGATAATAAGGCAGGATGTTAATTAAGGCATGCTTTCAGGGTCAACACGTGTAGAAGGGAGAGGGTGAGTGGAGTGAGACCAAGAGCTGTGATGCGCGCCCAGCAACAGCCTTATTCAACCCCATGGGGAATTTGGAGCTACAGTGAGCCTTTAGCGTTGTCCTGAATGGGACTGAAATGGCTGAGTCTTCAGTCCGTTTCCTCTCATCAGTCACTAGATGTGGGCTGCCCTAGGAAGGGCGTTACCACAGGTGAGTTGACTCTGCAACTCACGTTGTCCCTGTGGGGACTGACAGCTAAAGGCTGCCCGGTGACAAATGGAGCAACAAGCCCTTCCTTGAAGGAAAATCTTGGTGGTGCCTCTCCATGCCCATCACACCATCTTTGCCCAGTTAACTCCTAGTTACTTTTTGGAATCACTGCTCAAAGACATTTTAGTTTTTCCCTTTTAAAAACAGACGTACAGCTGCACACACACACACACATCTGTTAACACTGATTCTCTCTCTCTTAGGAACAGTAAGCCCTGAGTCTGGGAAATATTTCTGCTGAAAGACTCACCTTAGGACCAGTCCATTGTCTGACTGAAGGTTGATCCTTAATAAAGATTTCTTGGTAACTGTCTTTTATGTAGGAAAAGAAGACTGATTATTTCCTATGGCCCCCCCTTTTTTTCCCCATCAGCAACATTTGCAAGCAAGTAGAAGCAATACCAATGAGGCAGAGGCTGATAGCTGGATTAGTGACATAATGATGCTGGAGGAGTTTTGGATTGAATACTGGGCTGTCCTTTAACATTATGCACACAGAGGGCAGTCTGGCCAAGCAGTTCGTAAATGAATCCTATTCATCATGGGAGGGCTGCCGGATCAGTGCTAATCCATCACCACCACTGAGCCAGTATCTACTGATTCTGACCCAGGGTGAGCACAGTACACAAAGTACATATCTGGTAATCGCTGTACATGGAGGCTGTGTGCCTTATAACTTTAGAAAATGATGAGAAAAAGTATATCTTTCATAACTATTTGACCTATTTTTTTTTTTCACTAACTGACTAAATAAGCAGGTCAGGGAGGAATTAAGAAAACTAGATAAACCTCCCCTAACTAACTTAGTTATCAAGGGGCAGTGACAAATATATGCAAAATTTTCACATCATTACCACGTTTAAAAAGCATCATCTGAAGTCCTTTTCAAGTATTTTAAAGTTAGATTTAATAGTCTATCCTAAAATGTGCACTGAATCTTTCATAAAAAGATGACTAATATTGGAGATGTTAAAATATGTATTTTCCCCAAGGGCACTTGTTAACATCTGCATGGATGAAGAGGCAAAATAAAATGTCATATTTAGAATACACAATAAATATTCATCATCTGATCAAATGGCCGTGGTATAGACCTTACACTAACCAAAAGGAAAGCCCTTGGTGGTAAAACCTAATCACATTTACTTATTTACTTCCTTCAAGTATACAGTAAGGAGCCTGACTTACATAAAGCAGCAGCCTAGTAATTATTGCAGTACTAGGATATGTAGACGGTTCGTTCTATGACGAGGTGTGCCTGCCTTCTTGGAACCTGCAAAAAATGTTCAGAATGGATTTCGGCTTCAGATTGGCGAGAAGAATGAAACGGAAAGACAGCCACCTGCAGAATGGCATCTGCACTGCACAAGGCCTAGGGGAAAAAGAAAAAGAGAAAATGTACGGACACCCGTAAAAAAACCCACCAAGCCTCGGGCCTGTCCCCCCTTTCCGCGTCTGGGTTTCCACTTCCGGTGGGCGGGAGGGGAGAAAAGGGGGCGGG